TGCCATGCAGGAGCCTGGTGTGTAGCGCTCGGAGCTGGGGCGTGTGACCGGGCTGTGGTGTGTGGCGCTCGGAGCTGGGGCGTGTGACCAGGCTGGCAGATGAGCCGGGGGTGGGTATCATGTGCAGCAGGTTCGAGGCCCTGGGCCTGTGTGGACTCTCCTGCCGGGGCTTCCTGAGCCCCCTTGTTGGGCTGAGCAGGGGTCTCTCGGGTTGCATCTGCCCTTTCCCCGGGCACCCACAGGCCCTACATGATGGCAGGGGATGCCCACGGAGCCGTGGAACCCCTGCCGCCGTTCTGAGACACGACCTTCCTGTCCCTGTTTGGATGCTGTGGGGAAACCCAGAGTTGCTGGGTTTGTCTGTCCAGGGGACATATGTTTTTGCGAGAAGCTGTGGAGACTTGGAGTGAAGGCCCAGAGGCAGGTCGGGTGCTGGGACCTGTTGGGCTGTAAGAGTAGAAACTACCATCAGGGTCGCCCAGTGCACCCCGGTGGAGGTGTCCACGTGAGAGGAGCTGCCATGCTGCCCCAGGATGGCCTCAGTTGTGGTACCGGGGGGCTCTCAGCCTCCCTGAGGTGCAGACGGAGTTGCCACACCCCAGAGCCAGTGTCCACGCCATCGGTGGGAAATTCATGCCAGAGACCCAAGGACAGGCTCTCAGGAGGAGATGGCATCCCACCAGAGGGGATGAGGTGGTAGGATCCTAGCACCCCAGATGAGAGGCTCCCCAAAGTGCGGTCTAGGGAACAGGGGGGTTGGTACCCAGATCGTGAGTGTGGAGTGTGCTGCAGTGTCTGGCACCACTGAGGCCTCGGAGGGGGTTTGGTGTCTTGTCCACCCTGCAAACTGGAGCCTTCCCGGGGCAGGTTGTACAACCCCTTCGTGCTCCCTCTGTCCCTGCGCACAGCATCGGTCGAGGCTCCTCCCCAGGGCTGGTGGCCGCCGGCGCAGCCACCATTGACGCGGGTTGTTCCCTAGGTATGTGCAGGAGGTTATGCGGCGGGGACGCGCCTGCGTCAGGCCAGCGTGCGCGCCGGTGCTGCGCGTGGTACCAGCCGTGTCGGACATGGAGCTCTCCGAGACAGAGTACGTGCGTCCTGAGGGTCCTCCTGGTCCTGCCCACCCAGCCCAGGCGTCCCAAGCCAGGTCCCATGGTAGAGCCGCCGTCCTGGGGCCTGAGCTCAGGTACCACGCTGAGCAGCAGCTGTGGCAGGAGAGGGTCCCACGGCATCGGACTCCAAGCTGCCCAAGAGCCTTCTCCCGTCTCCATCAAAGGAGACGCTGACTGTCCAGCATGACAAGTGACCAACAGGCCCGGCTGGAGGCTTGGGCACAGGCAGCCCTGTATCCACACAGGTGTCATGGCCAGGCCCCTTATGGGGCAGAGACCTACCCCTGCCCCTGGCCCCACCTGGCTCGGAACTGGCTGGTCCCTGCAGGCCTGGCTTGAGCAGGGTCGGGGCTGCAGGTGCTGAGGTGCGCGAGGTGCGTCAGCTTGCAGTGTGGGTCTCAACCATGTGCGTCTGTCCAGTCCGTGCAGTCAGTGAGTCAGGGCTCTGCTCCCACCTGCAGTGCTGACCACTCCGAGCCCGTGAGAAAGGCTTGTTGTGTCCACACCACGTGATCCCCCGTGGGCTGTGTCAGTGGCACCTTTGTGTACTCAAGGTGGCAGGAGGGGCATATCCCAAAAGGAGCCTTGAGAACAGGGGTCCCCCAGGCCTTACCAGGCTTGCCCCAGATGCAGGTTTGTTGTGGCTGTCATCCTCTAGGGGGTCTTGGAGGGGCCTGCACCCGCCCTTGGGGCAGCCCCCCTCATGTTGGCTCCTTCTCCTATGGGCCTGGCTCCGGGGGGCTCCAAGGCTGTGGCTCTGGGAGAACGTCCAAGAATGCAGGTGGGTGGGGGCCTGGTGTGCGAAGTGGACGGTCACCTGGCTGAGGTGGCCGTGAGGCCTTCCTGCCATGATGTTGGCTCTGGAAGCCTCTAGTGCACGCAGCTAGGAGGAGGCCCAAGGGCTGAACCCAAGTGGGCCAGGGGCAGCTTCTGGAGTCATCTGAGGGACAGGTGGTGGCAGGGGAGCCAAGCAGAAGGTGTGAGAGCAACCAGGCCCTGCCCATCATCCCCGCACGGCTGTGGAAGCACCTGTAAGAGGAGGGCCCAGCTCAGCCTTGGCCGGAGACGGTGCCAGCCCCACCCCCTCTGAAGGGCCTGCTGGCCGCACCTGCAACAGTCCTGGGACAGACTTCACTGTGGGGTCAGGCTCATCCAGAAATCGTGCATAGTTCTGTTTGTCCAATCCCTGCCCTTGAGATGTTTTTAAGGTTTGGGGGCCGTAGGTCTTCCTGGGATAGGAGCCATGCAGCCGGCCCTGCCATCCTAGAGGTGAGAGCTGCAGTGCGCCCAGTGGCCAGGCCCTGTCCAGTCGAGGCGGGGCTGTGAGGCAGTGGGGAGACCTTCGTGCTCCCGGTGAGTGGAGTCAGACCCCAGATTGAGATGCTGCAGCGAGGGGGCAGTGGGGCCTGGGGCCCCAGGTGTTTGCAGGCCTTCCCCACCCTTTGCTGGCAGCCTGAGGCCAGCGGGAGGCACCCTGTGGGACCTCAGTCCAAAACCAGGGACCACTGCTACATCTCTTTCCCCAGGACGAGATCACAGAGGAAGGCGGGCGGCGGGAGTGCCCAGCCGTGTGACAGCATCGTTGTGGCATACTACTTCTGTGGGGAGCCTATCCCCTACCGCACCCTGGTGAGGGGCCGCGCTGTCACCCTGGGCCAGTTCAAGGAGCTGCTGACCAAAAAGGGCAGCTACAGGTGAGTGTGAGGGCTAGGGTGCCCACTCCCTGCAGGGGTACGTGGGTGCCCAGCAGTATGAAAAAGAGGGTTTCTAGCCAGGCATGGTGCCTCACGTCTGTAATCCTGGCATTTTGGGAGGCAGAGACGGCAGATTGCCTGAGCTCAGGAGATCGAGACCAGCCTGGGCAACATGGTGAAATCCTCTCTCTAAAAATACAAAAGAAATTAGCCAGGCATGGTGGCGGGTGCCTGTAATCCCATTTACTTGGGAGGCTGAGGCAGAATTGCTTGCTGGAGACGGAAGTTGCAGTGAGCAGAGATCGCACCACTGCTCTCCAGAACTCCAGCCTGGATGACAGAGCGAGACTCTGTCTATCCAAAAAAAAAAAAAAAAAGACTTTCCGGCTGTTTCAGTTCATGTCCCCCATCTGCACCTAAGCCAGTTCTCCAAGCCCTGGGCTGAGGATGGCATCAGGCCTTCAGCCCCACAGGACTGAGAGGGTCCTAAGGGACTACTTCCAGGGCCCTCAGCTTCGGGGTGAGAGAACAGAGGCCAGAGGCCCAGACAACAATGGTCTGAACCTTGTGTCGGGCTCCCCTGGGCCAGCCTCGTCTCCAGGCTCTGGATTCAGCTCCTTTTGCCCAACTGAAAAGCCAGGCCCCATCCTACCACGGTTCATTGGGCCTGGGCCCCTCAGCCCTGAGAGCCAGCCTGCAGCTAGTCTTGGAGGCTCCTGAGTGAGCACTGGGGGGTGAGCAGAGGGGGCCTGACCACAAGAGCCTGGCAGGTGGTTCCCTCTATCCACAAGCGACTGTGCAGACACCCGTGCACTGTCTGCGGATGTGGTGCTGAGGGAGGGCGCCCCAGTCGGGGTCACCTCCATGACAGGGCTCAGCCCTTGGGAAGCAGATACCCCACACCCATCCACTTCTCCCCTGCACCTCCTGAGAGGCTGGGGCAGGTACTCCTAGGGGGCTGCAGGGTGCCTCCCAGCAGGCAGTAAACTCACCCCCTGTAGCTGCCACTTCACCCACATGGGGTCATTGCACTGTTCACTGTTGCCCTGGGAGGGGCGCACGTGGTGGGGGTGGTGGGGGCGGTGGGGCATGGACAGGAGGCTCCTCGGGATGGGGGTGTGGACACGCCGTCCCCACCACAGGCCTCCTCCCATCTGCGCTGCTGCCTGCTCACTGTGCTCACCTCCATCCTGCAGATACTACTTCAAGAAAGTGAGCGACGAGTTTGACTGTGGGGTGGTGTTCGAGGAGGTTCGAGAGGATGAGGCCGTCCTGCCCGTCTTTGAGGAGAAGATCATTGGCAAAGTGGAGAAGGTGGACTGACCAGCTGGCGGGTTGACCGCTGCACCAGGCGAGGCCCTCGGTGGGCACAGGTGTCACAGCCAGGCGGATGACCTCGTACTCAGGAGCCCGACAGAACACCCCTGCGGTCGCGCAGTGTCTGGGCGGGTAGGGGTCCCTCCTCGTGGTCCACAGCCTTCTGTCCTGCCCCCAACGAGGCAGCCGGACACTCCCCATAGCAATACTTGGAGGGCCTAGCCCAAGTGGGGCAGCCAAGGTCCCTGCTGCCAGCTTCAAGCGACGCCCTGGCGCCTCCCCTGGGCACGTGTGCTGGGATCTGTTTTTCCCTCTGGGATTTGCCCACGTACCCTGGTCTGGCTGGGCTCAGCCCCAGGCCTGGGCACAGAGGCCTGCAGGGCCTCTCTCAATTGTACTCGCCACCGAGTGCCTTCAACACAGCTTGTCTCTTGCCTGCCACTGTGTGAGCCGGCGACGGGGTACTGCACCTGCCTCCAGCTGCCGGCTGCGCGGTCCCGGGTCCTCCTTTCTGAGGGCCCATGTAAATATGTACATTTTTCAGGCCAGGGCCAGCAGGGGCTGCCCAGGTCTATTTTTCATGCGATAACACTTGTACAATTATCTTTTCAAAGGTACTTGGATAATAATTAAATAAAACTGTTTTTGAACCTGCCCTGGCTGTGGTGTGTCTGCTGCCAGTGGGGCCTGGCCTGGGTCTCCCAGCCTCAGCCCCTGTGGTCAAGGTCATGCTGGCCTCCAGCAGGCATGGGGGTCGTCCTGTGACTCAGAGGCTGGCCAAGCTAGAGCATGAACGTGCTCCACCTTCCTTCCCAGGAGCCCACGTCTGGGCAGAGCTGTATCAGGCCAGCCTTGCTGAGGGATCAGGCACACACAGTCCAGAACCAAGCTCTTTATTCACAATGCACAGCTCCCTCCAGCACCCAAGGAGGTGCCTCCTGTCCAGCGGTGAGGAGGGAAGTGACATGGGGTAGCTACAGCTCCTCCTTGGACCCCACGGTTGAGTTGGCCCGTGGCTCCTAGAACGGGTCACAAGTGCAGCTCGGAGCTCTGCTCCCAGCCTACCCCTGCCCCCACCCCGCCAGCCCTGTGTAAAGAGGGTTTGTGCAGAGGCCTGGAACCCTGGCTTAGGGACACCCACCGGGAACGGGGCTGCCGGCTTCTCCGTGGGCTCCTCCGTGGGTACCACACCCCCATTGTCCAGGAACTTGGACAAGGTCTCCAGGTCCCTGGTGCTTTTATATTCAATCACCTGAGGAGAAGCAGGAGACTCTGGAGGACATGCCAGGCCCAGCCCCATGCCCAGGAGGATGGCATCCCAGCTTCTTCCCCAAGCACCTGTCCTCCATACCTTCCGACCTGGCCCTGCTGGGAAGTACTTGAGGGTAGGGAAGCTGTGCACGGCAAAGGCGTCCAGCTCGTTGGCTGTGGCATCCAGCTGAGCAATGATGATGTCCTCATGATCTTGGTACTTCTCAGCTAGCGCCTCCCAGGCAGGGGCCATCTCCTTGCAATGGGTGCACCATGGGGCATCTAGGACAGGGGCCGTTGAACGCGGCCATCTGGGCACCCCCTGCCCAGCCCACACATCCCGTGCCTCCCTCAGCACTCACAGAACTTGACAAACACATTCTTGGTTTCATCAAAAGCCACCTGCTCAAAATTCTTGCCCACGAGGGTCTTCACTGGCCGCTGATCCCAGTCAGGGGGTACCTCCTGGCTCAGGAGATAGGGCTGGGGGAAACCAGGCCAGGAGCTTTGCTAGGGGTCCTCTGCAGGGCTCGGGGTGGGGGAGGCCTTCTGTGGGGCTCCGGGGAGGGAGGTCCTCTGCAGAATTGGGGGCTCCTCTGCGGAGTTGGGGGCTCCTCTGTGGGGACTGCGGGGGCGGGGGCCTGAGAGCTGCTGTTCCCACCCCCTGCCAGGCTGGTAGAGGAGGTCAGGGTTCCCCTCCCTCTGTGAGCAGTCTGCAGCGGACCTTGACTTGGCCGTTGAGGACTGTGTGGCAGAAAGCAGTGACGGAAGCTGCGGTGACAGGGACCCCATCCACAGGCGCGTACTTTTTAGTGGTCTCAACATTGATGAAGCGCAGGGTGGGGGCTGCCTCAGCCTTGAGGCCAAAGTACTGCAGCACATGCTCATTGTCAGCCGCCACGTCCACCACCACGAACAGCACCTGAGGCCAGCAGTCCACACTGGCACCGGCCACTGTCCAGCTGCCCCTCACCCCAGACCCCAGTACCTGTCCCCATCCAGCTGCCCCTCACCCCGGACCCCAGTTCACCCCGACCCCAGTACCTGCCCCCATCCAGCTGCCCCTCACCCCGGACCCCAGTACCTGCCCCCGGAAGTGGGGAGCTGCTTCCCCAAAGCCCGCTAGGAGCTCCCTGTGAGCAGCCAGGGTCTGGTTGACAAACAGCAGCAGGTGGTTGAGGATCCTGGCTGCGAAGATCTTGGGAGATGTCTACAGTAGGGAGGGTGCTCATGACTCCACAGGCCCCCCCAGCCTAGGCACCCCCATCCCTGGACGACTCTATCCTGGGACACCCCCAGCCCAGGCACTGCAGCCTACATACCTGGCTGTTGAACTCCGTGACCAGGTGCATGCTGTGTGTGACCAGGAAGCGCGACAGATCCCCCAGGTCCAGGCCAAGCTCCTCATCCACTGGGAAGTCTGCCCGCCCCTCATCAAACTGGACAGCAGCAGATGGGTCAGTGGGCGCTGCAGCCGGACCCCAACCCACGCCTGGGCCTGACCTACCTTCTTGAAGAGAACCACGGTGTCCTTGGTGAGACCGAACTGCTCAAAGAGCCGTGGCCGGTCCGTGAGGCCAAAGGTCATGTCCAGGGCATCCCGGGCCAGGGCCAAGAAGGTGGCCACGTCCTCATCCTGCAGGTCCTGAAGGGCCCGGCCCTGTGAGGCCACCAGGTTCCACAGTCACTGCCCCCATGGCCCAGCTCCCCACGCCCAGTGGCTCACCTGGAAGAAGCCGATGACCACCAGGTCCCGGCCATCGATCAGCGCCTGGGCGGCCGCCTCGTCCTCCAGCCGCATGGCACTGGGCCCCACCCGCCGTCGCAGCCACTCGGCAATGCCCTCAGCCTCCCGTGGTCCTGCGGGGAGTCCCCCTCAGCCTGGGCCTGGCCACCACCCCCCAACGACCGGCCTGCCCCCGCACCTGTGTACTCCTCCGGGTGTGTGCGGTTCCCGTTGCGGAAGAACTTGAGCGTAGGGTACTCCGTCACACCAAACTCCTCAGCCAGCTCGGGCTGCGCAGGCCCGTCCACCTTGGACAGCGTGACCGCCGTTGACTCGGCTGCGAGCAGGGCAGCTGCCTTGCTGTACTCGGGGGCCAGGGCCTTGCAGTGCCCACACCACGGGGCATCTGGGGGACAGGGCCGTGAGTGCCCCAGGCCACCACAACCCCAGGAGCACCCTCTCCACACCTGACAACCCAGCAGGGAACAAGCGTGCTCCTCCATTCTGCCCTGAGCCCTGGCCATGGCCAAGCTGAGCGCCAGCGCCTCTTTGTGGCCCCCCAGGCTGCGGCACAGGGACCAACAAGGCTTGGGAGGGCTTGAAAGACCCCCCTCCCTACAGCTGGGTGCGGTGGCTCACACCTGTAATCCCCAGCACTTTGGGAGGCAGAGGCGGGTGGATCACCTGAGGTTGGGAGTTAGAGACCAGCCTGGCCAACCTGGAGAAAACCCGTCTCTACTAAAAATACAAAAAAAAAATTAGCCAGGATTGGTTGTGTATGCCTGTAATCCCAGCTACTCAGGAGGCTGAGGCAGGAGAATCGCTTGAACCTGGGAGGCGGAGGTTGCAGTGAGCCAAGATGGTGCCATTGCACTCCAGCCTGGGCAACAAGAGCAGAACTCCGTCTCTAAAAAGGAAAAGACCCCTCCTCTTCCTGTCCTGTAAGGCTGGGGCTCCCAGGCCCATGTGGCTGCCTGTGAAGACCTCCCAGGCAAGAACGGTTCCTATCTGTGTCAAGGGTTGTAAAAAGACCACAGAGCACATGCATCAGGGACCTCCGTGAGCCCCCAAAGCCTGAACACTGCCTGGGCCTCTGCAGAGTCTGTGGGATGCCCTGGCAGCTGGAGGAGTGACTGGCAAGGCGGCGACTCTGGCACCACGGCCGCTGGCTGAGCAGGGAGGCACAGGTGCTCTCATGTCCTGTGGGTACCCCCAGCACTACCACTGCTCCTGCCTGCCCCAACTGGACCCCCAGGACCCTCCTAGAGAGCTCCTGGGCACAGTGGGGGCAAGTGCCTGCGGGGAGGCCTCTCTTGGGCACATGCCCTGCATTTGCTGGCAAAGGGTGGGGCCCCCAGGTGGGCCCTGCTAGTCTCCGCCGGTCCCCAGCTCCACTGGCCCCAGCACTCACAGAACTCCACCAGCAGGGCAGGGTGCTCCCGCAGGGCCAGGCCCAGGGTGTGGCGGCTCAGCACCAAGATCCCATCCTCCTTGGGGATTTCCTCCTCTGGAGGCTCCTCTGAGGGGCTCTTGGGTCCCTGCTCCTGACCCCAGGGGCACGAAGCCCTGAGCAGCAGCAGCAGTACAGGCAGAAGCTGGCGGCTCATGGTGCTGCCAGGGCCCGTGGGGCAGGGGCAGATAAGGGGGCCAGAAGCCAAGCAGCAGCTGCCACGTGGCACACAGGCCTGGTTCCAGCCAAGATAAGGCCCGTGCGGCCCCCCCAGCCCCCAGGGGAGGGGAGGCAGAAAGAGACAACACGCAGGGCACCGAGACAGGGCCACGTTTAATGGGACAGCTCAGGGGACAGCGCCAGGTCCAGGGGGTCCCGGGACAGAGCAGGGGCAGCAGGGGAGGGTCTGGTCACTCACGGGGGGTGCTGGGGATGCTTGGGAGTCCTGTGCAGCAGCTGAGGGAGGTGGGGGAGACAAGGACTGGGGGTTCAGTCCTTCCAGTCCTGGCAGATGCGGAGACCCCACTCCCAGGACAGGTGGTGCGTCCTGTCATCGTCGGTGAAGAGGGACATGACCAGGTAGGGGCCCCGCACCAGTGCACCCCTCGGCGCTTCCTCCACCGGAGTCACAAACTCATACTCCTGGGCGCTTGGGCCGTAGCTGCCCACCATGTAGACGGTCTTGTCCACTAGGGAGGGCGAGGGCATCAGGGCTGTCCTCTGTCCGCCCCCCACTTCTCCCCCCCAGCCCTGTTCCCCCCCCACCCGCTGCCCTCACCGCGCAGGCCCCGGCGATAGGTGTGGTGCAGACACTTGAGGCCGCTGACAATCTCCCTGTGGACCTGGGAAAAGAGGCATTAGGAGTTCCCTCTGGGGGCCAGGCCTCTGGTTGTTGCCCCCATCCCCTCTGTCCACTGCCCTGTGTCTCACCTTGAAGGTGATCTTCACTCTGTAATCAACACCTTCCTTCAGGACAAACACCTGGTCCTTCAGAACAGCCAGGTCCCCTATTGGAGAAACTGAAGCTAGGGTCGGAACTCCCTACAGGCTGAGACCTGCTCCAGGAGCCCCCACGTGGGGTGTGGTGCCCATGAGGTCTGCGATTGTGATGGCCCAGGGTGTGGAACTCAAGGGTGCAGGAGTGTGCCTGGGAGGGCCCTACCTGCGTTCAGGGTGCAGCATCCTGCGAGTTACCTGTGAGATCCATGACGACGGGCCCTGGAGCCTGCTCCGACAAGAGTGTTAGCCTGGTCACCTGCACATTGGGCAGGCTTGGGTCTGAGGAGAAACTGGAAGTCTGCAGGATGCCCCCTCTCACCCCCGCTGGGCTTCCCACCAGCACCCCCAGACCCAGCCCTCCAAGCCCAGGCCCCTGCCATACCCACGGCCGGTGGCAGGGGCCCCAGCAGCGCCCGCTTGTACTCGGCCAGGCTCCTGTCGTCCGGGTCCAGCTGCCGGATCTCCAAGAGGCTCTTCCTCCCTGGCGCCCGGTACTCGGGCACAGCCTCATCCAGCACCTCGTCCACTGCCAGTGGCCCACCCTCCTTGTCAGCCAGGAGGACTGGGGATGGGGAGGGGCATGAGCAGTGGCCACTAGCAGACCCTGGCATTCCAGCACCAGGCTGGAGCCCCCTCTGGCCAGCTGTACCTCCCACTACCCAAAGGGACTCAAGGGGAAGCCTCTGGGAGAGGGCAGGCGGCCTGGGGAGGTGCCACACCGCACCCAGACCTTCAGGAGGGGCCTCCAGAGACCACCAAGCCTGCAGCTCCTCTGGCCCAGATGTCCACAAAGGCCCCTTCCCTGAATCGGAGACCAAAGGGTGGGGGAGTGAAGACTTCAAATGAGGGCAGCCCAGGGCCAGGGACTACCTGCTTGAGAGCAGCGGCCCTCAGCAGCCCCCACCTCTAGTAGCTCCAGGTCCCTCTACCATCCTGCTCTGGGCCGGGGTCTCTGAACACTTTCCCACAGTCTAGGAGTTCCTCCCCATGGTGCTGGGGGGCTGGGAGCCGCTCTCTCCAAATCCCTGGGCTCAGGCTCTGCGCCGCCTTCCACGGTGCCCCGGGCTGGTGGTCTTCTGAAGCCCCTCTCCCTGGTGCCCTGGGCAGGGGTTTCTGAGTCCCTGCCCACTTCGCTCCAGTCTTCTCGGGAATCACCACACGCCCTACGGAGCCTGAGCCCAAGCCCCAGCCCCAGCCCCACCCAGGGGAGAGGGGCTCCAGGCGGCGGTGCGCAGGGGGAGAGGGTCCCAGCCCCGCGGCTTCACAAGCGGACCGGTCAGCACCTGGCTCCCTTCCCCACAGGGGTGGAGCCTGGATGAAGTCCCCCACCCCTGCCAGACCCCGGCCGGGGGTCTGCGCCGCGAGATCCCCACGCGCGCCCCCAAAGTTGCCGCGGGGGAGGGGCTGCTCCCCGCCCCGGGCTAAGACCCAGCCGAGCCCCCCGCCCACTTGGCCGCCGGCCCCTGCCCGGCCCGCTCACCTCGGGCGCACAGCGCCAGCCGGAGCAGCTCCAGCAGCTGCGCCCCCAGCTCGCACGCGTCCAGGCCCAGCATGGTGGCGCGCGGCCCGGGCCGCCGCGGAGCCGCCGAGGAGCCGCCGCCCGCCCCGCCGCCGCCCCGCTCGGCGCTCAGCCCCGGCGCGACTGCGGTGAGCTCATCCCGGCCGGGAGCGCCCCCCGCGCCCAGCGCCGCGCCCGCGCCGCGCGCCCCCAGCCGCTTCGCGGACCCCGCGCAGCCCCGCAGAGACGCGCGTGTTGCCCGCACGGCGCCGGCACCCGGGTCGCCCCGCGGGCGCGCCAGTACCCCGCACAGAAGCTCCTGGACGCGGACGCGCGCAGCCGCGGTCACGATCCCCGCCGCCCGCCTGGCCTGTGCCCGGCTCTGACCGGCAGGGCTGCCCCACCCCCACGGTGCGGCGGGAGCCTGGCGGGGGTGGGGGTCTCCTGGGAAACCCTCTGCGGGGCGCCGTGGCGCAGGTGCGACCCCATCCCCAGCGTCTCATTATCCGGGCCACACCTGGGGCCGAACTGTGCTCCCCCTCCCCCTCCCCCGCTCCCTACGGAGCTTCTGTCTGGGCCGAGGGGTACTTCTGGGGCCTGCCCAGCCTTGGGGTGAGGGGCTGGCCCAACACCCTACAGGTTCACGGTCATCAGTAGGGCGGGACCACAGTGGGCACGGGTCCCACACACACCAACGTGCGTCTACAGCCACAGCAGCAACAAGGGCCCCTCAAAGTCTTAATGACCTGGCTGGGCTGTGTGAGATCCCAAGAGGGGGTGTCCCTGCAGCGCTCTTGGAAACCCAATTCCCGAACCCCCTGTCCTTGGGGAGAGGACACTGACACGGGTCCGGAGTGCAGAGACCGGACCAGAGGGGGCTTCTGATATTGACACCTAAACTGAGACCTGTGGGTGGGTGGGATGGGACCAGGCAGGGGACGGGGTAAGCAAGCTCTGGCTGGGACAGCTGGACCAAAGACCTGAGTCTGAGTAAGGGAGAAGGGGTCGGAACACCAGCCTGAGTCCCTTTCTTAGACATCCCTGGCCCCCTATTCCTGGGTCCAGGTACACCAGAAATTAGACCCGCCCTTGCCAAGGAGCTCCTTGATTGAGCAGAAGACCACCTTGGGTGCTAGGGGGCGTTGGGGTTTGGGTGGGGACTGTCTCCCTTGGCCCCCCACCTGCACACAAGCTTACCAGGGCAGCATCCTGTGAGCTTGGGCCCAGGCCCCTCTAGAGCCCCACCTCTGCTGACCCTTCGCTGTAGGGAGCGGGGGCTTGTTAAGACGCTTGTCTCCAGGCTTCCAGCTCCTACAGCTGTTACCAGATAGAAGGTCTTGGAGATGAGTTGTCCAGGCTCTTGGTGGGTTGAACAAAGAATTGAACAAACACACAAAGTAACAAAAGAACAAGGAAACACAAAGCAACAAAAGAACTGAGTCAGAAGAACAGAGTAAAGAAAGCACAGATTTATGGAAGGCAATTCACAGAATGGGAGTGGGCTCCAGCAAGTAGCTCCAGAGCCTCCGCAATTAGGATTTTTATCAAGCAAAGGAACCTGGCTACAGCCCTTATGCCCTTTAGGAACCTCCAATTGGCTACACCCTATGAAGGATTGGCCCGAGACCAATCAGAGGCGAAGTGGAAACTTCTGTCTCGTTATCACAGAGCCAGGATGTGGCCTGTGTGCTGCCCAATCCTGCCTACAACATGCTGCACCTGCTGTTCTGTTGCTTATGCCCAACCCTTGGCTACCCTCATTCCCTATTCTGCCTCCAGCCACCATAGATGCCCACCCCTGCAGACAGGGCAGCCAGACCTGGGCCACCTCACCCCACCTGTGTGTGGGGCATGGGAGGGCTCACTGGGATCCAAGGGAGATGGTTCCCTGGAGTAAGAGACCCCACAAGCCCCTGCCCCAGCTCATACTGAACCTGGCCTCTCCAGCAATGGAAATGGACTCTGGCCGCTATGTTAGGGGCTCCTAGACCAAGACCAGCCACCCACCCTGCCCAGCCCCCAGCAACCCCTGAGTGGGTAAGTATGGGGAGAGGTACTCTGCCTCCAAGAAAGCAGAAATAGGCCGGGCGCGGTGGCTCACGCCTGTAATCCCAGCACTTTGGGAGGCCGAGGTGGGCGGATCACGAGGTCAGGAGATCAAGACCATCCTGGCTAACAAGGTGAAACCCCGTCTCTACTAAAAATACAAAAAATTAGCCAGGTGTGGTGGCGGGCGCCTGTAGTCCCAGCTACTCGGGAGGCTGAGGCAGGAGAATGACGTGAACCCGGGAGGTGGAGCTTCCAGTGAGCCAAGATCGAGCCACTGCACTCCAGTCTGGGAGACACAGGGAGACTCCACCTCAAAAAAAAAAAAAAAAAAAAAAAAAAAGAGAAAGCAGAAATAGACCAGATGTGGTGGTACACATCTGTAGTCCCAGCTACTCAAGAGGCTGGGGTGGGAGCATCACTTGAGCTCAAGAGTTTGAGGCTGCAGTGAGTTTATGATTGCATCACTGCACTCCTGGTGACAGAATAAGACCACCATCTCTCAAAAAATAAAAACGTAGCCGGCCGGGCGCGGTGGCTCAAGCCTGTAATCCCAGCACTTTGGGAGGCCGAGGTGGGTGGATCACGAGGTCAGGAGATCGAGACCATCCTGGCTAACACAGTGAAACCCCATCTCTACT